TTCTGCTAGAGAAGGAAGGCCTCGCAGATGGTACTCAAAAAGCATCTCTCCCACATTGATATTCTCAAAGCCTTCTGACTGATCATCAGATCATGATGCATCCACAGTAAATCCGAGCGTGATGGATGGAATATTGTCGCTCCTGGTGCGCCGGCCAAGCACGAGCTCAGAATGACCATGAATATGAAATTGTATTCTCTATCTCGCAAAAATCACTGTTCAAAGACTCTTGAAGTTGACGAGCGCTTGGGCTGATGTGTGGCTCCTTCCGATCCAGGAAATGCACGTTGAATCCAACGGATTCAACATGCATTTAATCCATAAATTCCATGCGCAGATTGACAATGTGAGAACGTTCATGTACGCTGAGATCTCAATCTCAAGACAAGTGGAGGAGTTCACTGACTAGAACAAAGCGGAACAAGAATGTGAAGGAAACCTCGAAATGACAAGTGTTGGAAGGCAGAGAGGCGAAACAAGCCCGAGACAGATGAGCTTGATACGCACGCCATATCCATCTCGCCGGGTTGATTTTGGGCCATGTGTAGGTTGAAATTTGTTAGGGTGAGTTGTTGGATTTAGTTAAATATTAGTAATGCAAAAAAGAGTATAATACTTGTCGCGCTGCATAGGGAACCAGAGAATACACTCCTGATAGCACACTTGATCTTCGCCTCTCTCGTACTTATCCCAAAAACAGCTGCTAGGGAATAAACAGACTGGGGTAGAGCGATAATGATTCCTTGAAAACCGACCTTGCATCAACGCAAGTTGTAGAAGGTCTGTCCGGACAGTAATGAAAGCTTGAGAAAAATCCCATGGACTGGTGTACTCAACTCTCCCTGCCCTTAAGACTGTGGCACGAAGTAGCCTAGTCAGGTCGCGCGAGCAACCAAAGAGATGTTCTTGGAGTCCAAAGCGGTGGGCGTTGGGATATATAAAGAAGAGCTGCGAGCAAGAAACCGGGCAGTCAAGGGATGAAATTTAGAAGATGCGAATCTGGTTCAGAGATTCTGGATCGAATACAAGCACCTCAACAAGTTTTGATTTTCACGGGGCGCACTATCGGAGAGTTCTCTCCCAGAGGGCTTGCTGGAAGTCGCGACAGACGAAGAACCGGCGACCAATGGAGCACTGCTGGATGCCGAGATGGATGAGATAACCCTGGAAGAAGATGGGCTGGAAGTGGGGGTGACAGCCGAAGATGACACAGGGCCACCGACACGAACATCTGGGTCATACACGAAGGACGAAGTGACGGGGTAGAATTTGGGGGAATGTTCATGGTCGCTGTCATCCTCGACTTTAAAGCCTGTGAAGATGGTCGACTATGACAAAAAGACTGTTGATGGTGGTACTTACTGCGAGCGGAGCCATGGGATGCAGATCTAGATCTCTTATAGCCGTCATCCCAAGTCTCAACCTCAAGGGAGGGAGAGCCGCTGCGCTTGCGCGATGCTGAAACAAATCTAGAACGAACCAAAGAGAATCAACTTCAAGTACCACCTGCGTCGTAGTCCATCTCTGAGATCTCCTCGATGTCGTTGTCAATGGGTTCCGTCTTGACTGTGACTGCTGCAGGCTTGAAACGGGAGCTGCGACGAGGCGGACCCGTCACGATGACGGAGGACTCAGCCGTATCCGGTGGACGTCACGATCAGACTCGGAAGATTCTGCCGTGCGTGCGCGACTGGGCTTGGCACGTGTTTTTCCTTTGCCTTTGCTCGTGCGACGACTATCTTCCTCTCCTCCACCTCCGCCTCGGACTCCAGGTCTAGGGCGCCAGTAATTTTTTAAACCGCCGCTTCCCATTCCTTGGACGCCGAATACGGAATCCTATGACGAACTTGAAGCACCGGATTGTACGGTTAGTCAATGAATAGCTTCACGCTACATCAGCAAAACGTTTTCGGTCTGGCGCGTCTGGCGCCAGGCCGGCCAACTCCGCCATCACGCCAGAATGTGATCTGGCCCCATTATCGGCTTACTAACCCCAGAACATGTTCTGGCAAGTTCTGGCGCCAGTTTCACACCAGAACATTTGCCAGTTCTTCTGCCATGCTCCCAGTTCTCATAAAGAATCAGCTTCCAATCACTTTAAATTCAAATGTATTCATGAGGTAGTACATAAATACAGAAACACGGTAAGAGATATGAAATCTTCCGTGTTTGGGTGTGGGTTGAGGACGGACCAACAGGCACAGGAAATGGGGGGGTGAAAAGAGAAGAGAAAATGTAACATACATGTCGGTGCGACGGAGTACCACAGAGCTCCATGGTTGCGACACTAAGACTCAGATTGAAATGATGGAAGGCTTGGTGCTTAAAATTTTCGCTTTGAGGACCCCATGCTTCGACTTGAAGGCTTGATACGTCTGCTTGACGACTTGCAGGTCTTGAAAAGGCTTGACTGGATTGATAGTTTTGAGAGCGACGCGACATCGAGTAGGGTCGCATCGCGTGAGTGGATGACCAGACGGGCTTGAGAGTTGATTGACTTGGAGGAAGACATATTGAGGCTTGACACTGGTACCAGTTGACGTAGGGATGGCCGCCACCGCGGGATGAAAAGACCTTGGGAGCGCAATCAGGGGGAGAAGCTGGCTTGGTGGCTACAGTATGGGTTTCGTGTCGTCTATGGTGCTCCAGTGGCCGGCAGATGTCAAAAACGCGACTGGAGGGAGGGGAGAGGGCGGTGGGAGATGGTGGGAGAAGAAGAGAAGGCCATCAATATCAACCAACTTTCCGCCGTAATGGCTGATGCGCACGGACCTTCTGCAGTGATTTCATCATTACTAATGCAAGTCATCGGACTTATAATTCTGGCGGATCTGGCGATGCGCGGCCATACGGGCCACATGCGCCAGATCCGCCAGCTCTTGCCATCTCTTGCCAGACGGATTACATTTTCCTGATGTACTCACTGCGTTTTGGGAAAACTGTCCAATGTAGGGACAGAGGCGAGGATTCTTAAAATAGCTCATCTATCTGCAGCATGGCCATCTTAGCTGTATACACGAATAAAGGTTACAAGATAGGAACGTGATCCCCTCTATCTACCGTATTAGACAGACAACCTATTCTTGCAGAGACAGGCTGCCGAGCCCACAGGGAAACCCAATGATAGTTTGTCTGTTGCCACGGAACCAGTTCGGATAGAGATGGCGACAGACGACCAATCTTTGATGGGATATGTTGCCGAGACTAGCGTTTGAACCTGAGTAGCTCTTGCGAGGCTTGAATTGAATAAAACACAAAAATATTGATTAAATCTAGAGCATTAGCTCAGCCCACATCACACTTGCATGCTGTCCCCTGCCGCTCGGATTCCTCTCGAGTTGGTCGCAATATGCAGCAACATCCGCTTCAACCCGTGTACCAGCCTGCAGAAGGGGGTTGGGAACTTGAGCAAGAATGAAGTGAAAGCAATGCACTGAGACGGAACGTGCCCAGAGGCACATTCGAGATGATATATTCTGCTACAGGGATAGTGATAGTAAATGGGAATTTGATCGCAGGAGTGTAAGAATGCACCGAAGAAACAAATTCCACCTTTATATCTGTCATTCCACACATCACCGTAGCCGCAAAAGCCGTTGTTTCAAAGAAATAGTGAGTTTATCCGGGTTTGAGAATGGAGGGTCCACGGCTGCGCATAACCATCGTCTTTGGACCCCACAAATGAAGGGGCTGGCTCGGTCCACACTTCGGAGCATAGACGTAAAGGGAGAGGAGGTACATGTCTGGATCTTTGAAGACACCGTCATTGCCGCCCTGCCCGAAGGATGTTAATCAATGCAGATCAATGCGCCGATTGCGGAGTCAAATGCATACCTGCAGTAGAGCCATGTGTACTATGCAAAGAGACTCCTCAAAGCGCACGGGATGATCAGGTAAGACGAGGGAGCTGGTGGTTATGTTTTCAAGAAGCCATTTATTCAGAGCTGCAGTACTAGTGCGTTTGAGTCGAGCGGCATGCAAACATGCACCATTTTGCAAAGCCATAGTACTAGGACACGGAGCAAGAGGAGCTTTGTAAGGAGAGAACCTGCCAGAGCAGGAAGCAGACAGCTGAGGAGTGGACTCTTAGAACTAATAGAAGATTTCACAAGCCAACACTGTAACAGGCAGGTTTTTGAATTGGCGGCGTAGAACCTCATTTGGAGAGGCGGTCTGTACCCATACAAATACACAGGCGGCTAGGCAAGGGAGCTACGGGGAGATGGAACAGATACAAGGCAAACTGACCATGGGTGCAGACAGGTGGGATGTTTGGTCCAGATTGTCTGTCTACAGGTGGATTTATCGGCGGATTCTTAATCTGTACACAGAATCACCAGTTTATTTGTCCACCTACAGACAGGTAGCCCAGACATATGGATCGGTGTGATATATTGACTATTCCACTCAGCCACCTGTAGAGACATTTTTCCCAAAACACAGTGTATGAGGGAAGTACCATCTCATGCCAGCTGATGTGGATGCGATGCATGCCCGAAGTTGTAGCAGATCTGGCATATATGAGGGAAATACCATCTTGTGCTGGCCAATGTCCAAAGGTGTAGCAGAGAAGATGAAGCAGTCTGTATTTGAAGAAGCTCCGATAGTGATGGGCATGGAGACACAGAGGACTCAAGGATAGTGGCAAGTATTGAAACCACCTTTAGGGGCTACTGGACTGGACATCATGCCAGGAGGACCCCATAGACAGATAGATGTCAACCTGCCAGCAAGAATGACAAGAAAATTGAGGCTTGCAAGCCGCAGTTGACATTGGAGTCAAAGCAGAGAGACTCTGATTGTTGATCTCTACTGATTCACAAACCCTGTTCTCCTGATCACTTGTACCACAGAGAGAGAATGTCAAAACATGGTCAGGTCAGGGTACAAGGGAATCGGATTGAACTTGAGGAGAACTCTAGAAATCTTGGATGTTCGCTAGAGGTGAAATGGAAGGATGAGGAAGGGTAAAAAACAAGGAGAGGAGCGAACAAAACGAGTGGACAAACTGGGAATCGAACCCAGCACCTCCCGCACCGAGATCACGTGACCCGTCTATCGCATTAGTGCGAAGCGGGCGCGATAACCAACTACACTATTTGCCCATGGGAATCACCGCATATGAGCGACTCATGGCCTGTAGCTACAGGTGTGGTGCAATCTGCAGTTGCTTCACCCTGTGAAGAGTTAGGGTCTTTCAGTCAGTTTAGGCATGTAGTAAAGTGGTTTTGATGGGTGTGACAGGACATGTAACCCTTCGCTCTGCTCTGGTAGGGGCAGATCAAGCTCTGTTGAACTTGGAGAAGGTTTATCCGGGACTCTCTGACAGTACGACTTGTGTATCACTACTTAACTGGTATTCAAATATAAACAATGCTCACTAGGACAATATGGTAAAGCTCTGAAACAGGTCCAGATTTGGCGCGGCTGCGTGTGAGGTAGCAGAAAAAGGCGAAGACGGCAAGTGAACAGACCTAAACATCAGGAAAAACATTTATTCACAGGAGGTGAAACAGAAGCAGCAAACTAACAGAAATTGGGGAATGCACACCACATACCCACCTGTAAAAAAATACCATCTGCAGTCCTGGTCCCAGCTCGATCAAATAATTGTCGTGCATGACCAGTACCATTGTCCTTGTCCTTAGCACTAGTGAGTGGTTTTAGAGTTCTGAATGCAAGAACCAAGTCAGCACAGACCATGCACCTTGCTAGATGAGCGAGGCCTTCACCCGGACCGTACAATAGTGGAGAGCTCTAATAGGAATTTTAGTTAGCTGCAGATAAATTGAGAGAAGTGTGGAACAGGCTTACATGGTGAGTGGTGATTCGGGAAGAGTGTATGCATCAAATTGCGAACGTCTGTGAAGAGAAATACTCACTGAGACTAAGAAAACAGTGCCGATGCAGGCCTGCAGTTGGCAGATATCCATGAGAGGAAACAACAAAAGAAGGACAAGAATAAAACTCACTTCGCACCTCGATATGACTTGAGGTTGTTTGGCAAATGCTTGATATGGGATCTTTTCGGCTCAAGGAATACAGAATAAAAAGAGAGGAAGAGAGGCGAGGAAGAGCCTCGAGACAGAGGCTTGTTCAAGCGCTTGAATCACGTTTGAGCCTTGTCAGCTTGGGTACATCAGATCTTGACACCCGAAGTAGTGCACCACACACTGAGTTCAAGCCTCAAGCATTGGATTTGGGGTCTGAACCCAGGAGTACAGAGGGCATGAGTAGAGCCGCGTATAAGCTCAAGGTCTTGCTGAGCCTGATGTTTACCTACTGTTTAATTGACCCTGGCCTTTCAACGTTGCAGGGCATCGAAGACAGGAGCGATCGATCAAGCAGGGAAGATGAATGGGGGGAGGAGGCAAGCAGAACCAGATTATGCAGTCTTCTGTTTTCAGTGGGCTTTGGCAGAGTTCGTGACGCGGATATTGTGCCCTGTGCATCATGAGTGCACAGGCATGGAAGGCTGGGAACGGAGCTGAGCAATGTTTCGAAGCAACTTTTGTTTGGTTGAAATTGCAGTTGAACTGCTGAGAACTTGGAGGAAATCCAATAAATGGCAAGAAGTGAGGACAAAATGAGGGTATGCCGAGCTTGAGACCCAGTGAAAACACGGTATCGGGTGGGATCACCGGGTATCGGCTAGGCATCGCTTAGAATCGTGGAGCATCGGAATAGCAAAAATCCACTCTTCCGATACTGGACGATACTAGGCGATGCCAGACAGTGCCAGACGGTGCTAAAATGGGACTCCATAGACACTTTTTATCGTCAAATATTGTCTAGTATTGCGTCGTATAAAATACATGATACCGCACGATACTATGCGCTCCTGCTCCCCCGTGCTCCTGCTTGCCCCACGCTCCTGCCCGCCCCCGCTGCCGCGTTCCCTGCACCTGCACCCCCCCACCACTGCTCATGCTCTCCCTCTGCCTCCCGCTCGCTCCTGCCCGCCCCACGCCGCCATGCTCCCTGCACCCGCCCACCACTGCGCACTCCCCCTCTGCCTCCCGCTCGCCCCCGCTTCCGCACCCTACATCCGCACCCACTTCCACATCCAGCGCCACCCGTGCTCCCGCTCTTCCTGGCTGATCTTCCTTGGCTATCTTCTCACTATTGTCTTCTTTCCATCCAATTTCGCTGTGGGGGTAGCCATTAGTTTCGCATCGTCCCAGATCATGATGTAAAAAATCACCTGTCTCTGCATCTCCGTCTACGCTTTTGGAGCGGTGGTGGCCTACTGAGTCTGTGTCGGTGTCTTCGCCGGCGCGGCGCTGGTCTGAAAAGGAATATAAGCAGTAGAACTACTGCATCTCCCGAAGTCATACCTTGTTTGCCTTCGCAATCTTCTCTTTGTCCTTCCACTGCTTTTTTTCGGCTGCGCTCAGACCCACAAAGTAGGCATCGAAGTCGTCTTTGCAGGCGTCGGGGTGGTCTTTCTTATACTGGAAACTACAGAGTCCCCTGAAAAAAATTAGCACGTTGTATGTCGAAGTGGACCGTAGGACGGACTTCTGGCTAGTGGATTCCCCGGAGGGATTCCATGCCCTCTTCTTCTTTGCTGCTGCGGCAGAGGAGGGTCCCGCGGTGCTTGAGTGAACTGGAGGCTGAATGACTGCCAAGCCTGTGGGTGTCGGTGCAGAAGAGGCGGTGGAGGGAGCAGGGGCCGAAGGCGAACGCGCGCATTTGTCATTGCTGTCGGCACAGGTACATGCGCGGGAGTCGGTGTCGGCGCAGGTGAAAGGCGTGGAATCCATCGTGGGAGTCGGCGCAGGCACAGCTGTGGGAGTTGGCGTTGGCACAGGTGAAGGTGCGGCATCCGGCATTGTTGTCAGCGCAGGCACAGGCGCGGGAGTCGGCGTTGGCGCAGGAGTTGGTGTTGGTGCAGGAGTCGGCGCTGGCGCAGGAGTCGGTGCTGGCGCAGGTACAGGTGAAGGTGTGAGAGGGGCGGGGCTCGGTGCTGCTGGTGCCAGAGACACAAATGCGGGTGTCTTTCCCATGCTGTCGATACATTAGTAAATGTCATTTCCGGCAGGCGGTACACTCACAGAGGATTTCTGGAGCGCTAAACAAAGAAGACAGAATGATCAGCGTATTAATGTGCAAAATGGAAGGCAGCCTTACTTTGGGCGGGTCTGCTCTCCCCTTCCCTTTATCGTTCGCCGGCGTAGAGTGCAAAGCCTTATGTTTCTTGGCAGCAGGGAGAGAACTGGAGCTGGCCTTGGCCTTGCGTTTCGGGGCTTCCAAGTCGGAGATAATCTCGAGACCATTGTTGTTGTTGTTGTTGTTGTTGTCGCCGTCCATGTCTACATCCGAGTCATGTTCCACCTTGACCTGTCCACCTTTACGGTTGTGGTTTCCACTCCAGCTAGCAAAGGTCACAATAGCCAATTTGTCCGCCTTCCAATGCCCATCACAGAGACGTAGCTCTGGAATCTCCGACTCTATCACAGCGCGGAAACGGTGCTTGACACTCAGAATTGCGTGGCTCCAGACATTGGGCATCAGGTTCTCCTTTTTAAGTTCGAAATAAAAGCTAGCGCAGACACTGCGAATCTCAGAGATCCGAGATTTTGACGGAAACTGGCCTTTTTCGGTAGTATAAAATGCAGAGAATTCTTGGTTGCCACAGGATTTTCGGGGGTAGGATCGCGCCCAAGATCCTTGTTTATTCGTTCGAGCCATCGCTTTTGCTGCCAAAATGTCGCTCCAGGCTTTTCGGACTGCTTGTAAGTCACAATCTCGGGGATGGCGGCCGCGGCAGACAAGCCAGATGAAGATGTAGAGGCAGACAAGGCAGAGGCTGAGGAGGGGTGGGGAGAAGAGGTGGAGATCTTGTCCAAGAGAGAATTATAGTTTTGCCTGCAATGTTAATATTTTTTGAAGCGGACGATATAGAGAAGATGATAACACACTGAAGGGTTGAGTACTGTGCACGTAGGATCAAGTTCTGGTCTTGGAGCTGTCTGTTTTGGTGCTGCAGCTGCTGCAATTGATCTAGATAATTCGGCTGCTGGTGCGTGCGGGAACTTTGGGTGGGGTCGTGGTGGTCGGAGTAGTTGGCCAGCATTTGATCCTACATGTACTGAGAACATGAAGTGGTAATCTATGGGATATTACTCACATTTCGGCCCAGATTATTGGGCATTTCAAAGTCGAGACTGGTCTGCAAGTTGATATTGCTGTTGGGTCGCTCCATATGAAGAGATGAGGACGGGTAGGAATTAGGGCGATATTCAGGGTATAGAGAGGAATGGCGGGTATCAGAAAGACTATTAATGCTGCTTGTAGACGAGCTAGAGCCGAAACGGGAGTGAGACGATGAGCCAGAGCCAGTAGACATGGCGGTAGGATCCAAGAAACGTGTGACATTGTGACCACTACTAGTAGGGCGCCTACAACTACCGACAACTCCAGACGCGTCAACCTCGGTAAGTCTTGTGTTTCCCTGTCTGAGACGCGTTTTTAGCTGGCGCGGCTACCCTACGACTCGCACCAGGGACCCAGGTAGCCACGCCGGTGCAACGGAACACGTCTCAGGGGCCATTGCCACCTTATACTAACGCGTTTTTTTTCATTCAGGCCGCGTTTTTTTTGTTCACATCGCCATACTCTGGATCCTGAATGCTCCTCAATCGTCTACTCAGTGTCGCAGCCCTGCCGCGCGTGTCGTGGGCAGACCTGAGGCTGGGCGACTCGCACCAAGGATCCCGGTAGCCTGCAATCTCTTGCATTCGTCCTTGTCTCCATGCATGCCACTGAGCGCCGTCGTATATGCGAGGGTAAACAGCCGTTCTGGTGAAGGTTGTTGTGCGGGCTTCGAGTTGCACACGACTCGGACAAGCATGAAAAAGAATGCAGTAGCTGCATGGCAAGTTCCGCTCGTCACACTTCGTCCAGGGCTTCGAGGATAACAGGGATGTGGTGTCGGTATCGTCGGTGTACTTTGTGGACGGGCACGTCGACGTGCACGCATCCATCGCGTCGTCTTGGCCACTGTGTCCGCGTCTCCTTCCTTCCACCCCCACTCCCGCTCCAACTTCCACCCCGACCCGGATACGCTTGTGTCCGCACACCTGTGTCCTCGACCTCCTTC